TCCAAAAGAGACAACAATCGTTTTTGCACACATGTATCGACTCATACCCCAGGCCAATAGACTTTAGTTTCTTTTTAGCTAGATAATGTGAAAAGGGAACCTTGTTGCCTTTGGGAAATGTTAATTGCAAGAACTCAAGGAGTTGATCAAACGAACTATCAGTCCATTTGTTGTTCACCTTGATATGCATTAACTTTGCTAGAAACTCAAGGGAAGAAAAGATGCAACCAGTATACAATTGAGTTTCCATTTCTTCCAACAATTGTGCAAAATCATCATCCACACCGCTACCCCTTGTATTCGAGGTTCCTTCATCAAGGTTGGTATCATTTTCTCTCGACTCCCACATCACATCGTCGATTAAATCGGCCATTTCGTTACTTGGCAAGACGACTGGAGGAATAAAAGATTCACCATGATAGATCCAAATTTTGTACGCCTTACTGAAACCATATATAAATATATGGCGTTCAACTGCAGTCGGGTACTTGAAGTAATGGTTATCACATTTTTCACACGCACATCTGATTTTACCATTACTATCAAGGTGCGACTTCGACTTCTCAATAAAAGCTTTGAGTCCTGCTTGGAACTCGGGATGGTTTCGATATGGATTAGTAGTCCAGCTTTTATCAATAGACATGATGTTGCTGAAACATAATTTTGGGTTTAGAGTTTAGTATACAGAATTAGCCTTGTTTTTTTTTTTTTTCCAATCCACATTTTTTTAGATCTAAAATAATACAAAAATTAAGTAATAAAGAGATGAAAAAAATAAATTAAAAATTTTTATTTATGCATTTTTTTAATTAATTTTAATTAAAATTACTTTCTTTTTTTATATACATACATATTATGTTGTTGTGTTGTTTTTTTTACCGTCGAGATTAAAATATATATAAGTTTTTAAACAATTTTATAATTTTTTTTGTGTTTTTTTTTCCAATTATAAGTTAACTATATAACTTATTGGCTAATTAATTTGGAGTTAGCTTGGGTAAAAAGTAGAAGCTTTCTAGTTTTTGTACATAAGTTTTTAAACAATTTTATAGTTTTTTTTGTGTTTTTTTTTTCAAATTATAAAAATAATGTATTTTTTTTTTCAATTATAGCATCCTACTTATAAGAAAACCACATAATTTTACATAATACATAAGAATGTGAAATTCGCATACTTTTACATACATATTATGTTGTTGTGTTGTTTTTTTTTACCGTCGAGATTAAAATATATATAAGTTTTTTAAACAATTTTATAATTTTGTTTGTGTTTTTTCCAATTATAAGTTAACTATATAACTTATTAGTTAAGTAATTTGGAGTTAGCTTGGGTAAAAACTAGAAGCTTTCTAGTTTTTGTACATAAGTTTTTAAACAATTTTATAGTTTTTTTTGTGTTTTTTTTTTCAAATTATAAAAATAATGTATTTTTTTTTCAATTATAGCATCCTACTTATACCAAAACCACAAAGTTTTACATAATACATAAGAAGGTGAAAGTCACATACTTTTACATACATATTATGTTATTGTGTTGTTTTTTTTACCGTCAAGATTAAAATATATATAAGTTTTTAAAAAATTTTATAATTTTTTTTGTGTTTTTTTTTCCAATTATAAGTTAACTATATAACTTATTGGTTAAGTAATTTGGAGTTAGCTTGGGTAAAAACTAGAAGCTTTCTAGTTTTGTATATAAGTTTTTAAACAATTTTATAGTTTTTTTTGTGTTTTTTTTCCAAATTATAAAAATAATGTATTTTTTTTTCAATTATAGCATCCTACTTATACCAAAACCACATAGTTTTACATAATACATAAGAATGTGAAAGTCACATACTTTTACATACATATTATGTTGTTGTTTTGTTTTTTTACCGTCGAGATTAAAATATATATAAGTTTTTAAACAATTTTATAATTTTTTTTGTGTTTTTTTCCAATTATAAGTTAACTATATAACTTATTGGTTAATTAATTTGGAGTTAGCTTGGGTAAAAACTAGAAGCTTTCTAGTTTTTGTATATAAGTTTTTAAACAATTTTATAGTTTTTTTTTCAAATTATAAAAATAATGTATTTTTTTTTCAATTATAGCATCCTACTTATACCAAAACCACATAGTTTTACATAATACATAAGAAGGTGAAAGTCACATACTTTTACATACATATACCACATATACACCGAATACAAATACACACAAAATAACATCCTACTTAAAACAAATACACATAGTTTCACATACATACATAATAACATCCTATTTATACCAAATACAAAAGTTTCACAATCATATATCACATTTACAACAAACATACATACATTCACATACACACAATAACATTCTACTTATAACAAATACATATAATTTCTACCAAATACTAATATACCACATATACATCAAACACACATACATTGGAATATATATACCAAATTCACATATATTCAAACAAATACGGAATATACAATCTAATTTTCACATAATTTCACATATACAACTAATTGCAATTCAATAACCACAAACAAAAAATTGAATAACCACGTGATCTGGTTTTTGTGGATCAACAAAACCCTATGGTTGCTATAAATATAGCATCTCTTGTAGGTCACCATGGAGGAATGCATTCTTAACATCAAGTTATCATAATTGCCAATTTTGTGCAACAACTAGGGAGAGAATAAGGCGAATTGTTGTTGATTTCACATCAGGACTAAAAGTCTCATGATAATCTGCCCCTTGTTGTTGGTGAAAACCTTTTGCAATAACTGTGCTTTGTAGTAAGTGGGTTGTTTTGAGGTTGGAGTTTGGTGGAATAGGATTTGAAGATGAGGAAAAGGTGGGCAATGTTTGAGTGATAATGGATGTAGTAATGGTTTGAGGATGAGAGTAATGCTCAAAGGTGGAATGGTAGTAGGATTATTGTTTAAGTGTGAGTGTTGAACATATATTTTAGGTAGTGTAGGGTGAGCGGTGGTGAGGAAGTAGTAGGCGGTGGTGAGGTGTATGTGATGTTAGGGGATGGTTCGAAATGTGGATCAAGAAGAGTGGAGACAGGTGCTTCAACGATTTCAGGTGGTGGAGTGGGACAGGATGAATAATGTGGTTCTAGGAACAAAGAGTTTTCGGATGAGGATGTAAACTTAGTGAGAGAAAAGATTGTTCATTGAATCGAACATAGGGGACAATATAAATGCGTTTAGTTTGTCGATCCAAGCAGTGATAGCCAGCAGTGATAGCCATGGTGAGAGGTACTGTATCCAAGAAACACACATGGTGTAGAATCAAAGTCCATTTTGTGTTTGTTGTATGGATAGCATCCTAAATAATATTCTTAGTTTCCAAATTTAGCGGAATTAGCCCTTTAACATTTAAATCTCGAATTAACTCCAATATGACATTCTAAATATTTTTTTAGTTTCTTATATTCTAATCCAACCTTATATGATTGAATTTTTACTATCTCTAAATTCATATTAAATGAATTTATCCAAATATCATTCTTTAATTTTCAAAATCAAAGATTTTGACCCAATCTATCATCAAACTAATTAATTATTTTTTTATTTAATTATTTTTAAGTGATAAACTTTGAAATTTTAAATCCACCAGTTTTATTTTATTCAATTATTTTAATTTATTTTATCCAAATATCATTCTTTAATTTATTTTAATGTGGGACACCCAACAAAATCTACATTAACAACTTCTTTTGAGTGTGGTCGATTGATTTCTTCAAGAACATCCCTACCATCTTTTTTCTGTAAAAAGACCACAACAAATGCCGAGTTTAAAAGGGGAGAGATTTAAAATAGAAATACTAGATATAGAACTAATAGTAAAATAGTTGTAAATTAAAAAATCTTATAAAGGTAAAGAAAGTAGCCAAAACCTACGCTACTTCACTTCTCACATGTCCAATAAAAACTTGAGTGATAACCGTGCTTAACTACAATATTAACATTACCTTTGTCGTCCGGCCTTGAGCTTCCATGAAATCAGAAAAAGCATGCATTAACATATCTTCCTCAGCCTACAAAAAAAGATTAAAATCATAATAAATCAAGCAAAGTTTTGGATATTACACTTAACAATACATGCAAACAAAAAAACAATCACCTTAAGTTTTTGCCATTCATGTGACAATGATCTACTAGCATCCATGAGGAGTTCATTCTGTTTCTCCAAGTGTCTACATTTAGAACAAGAACATTATGTGCTACTAATCATATAAGAAAAATAATTATTTCAGCAAAACTTACTTTAAAATCTCTTCATATTTAAGGTCCATTAGATTATGCGATCTCTATTGATACCATGAAATCCTAGCCTCCAACCTTACTTAAACATCAACCGAAGGTTCTCAAAATCAGGGATGATCTTCAAGTATTGTTGATTAAATAGGTACTCAAATGAGCATAATAAAGATAGTAATTTAAATATTTTTTGGAAAGAGAAGAGTGTCTTCACAATTTAAGGGCACAAGACACGCAAGTTTTTGGAACATTGTACTTGTCTTCTGTTGGAAAACATACGAATCTTATGAAAACAGAGAAAGGACATTGCAATCAATGCATGTCTTAAAATAACTTATTCATGCAAATTGAAGCTATGGTTTCCACATCCAAAACTATTTAACGGAAGATTGGTGAATTTACTCTTTAACTATTGACATAAATAATTAACCGTAAAATTATTTAAAAAAAAAAAAAGAAAAAAAAAAAGCGGTTTGAATGAATATTAAACAGAAATTAAATCGATATTAGCATTATTTTAAAGGTATCAAAACATATATAAGTGCATTAAAAAACTTTTTATGTTAAACATTAATCTTCTAGGTAAATTAACAAAATTTGATAAAAGTGGGGAAACAAGTTCATTAATCAAAATTTTTTTAAAATGAAACACTTCGAATTATGGTATTAAAAAGCAATGCATTAACAAATTTAGTGTAATTTGACGAGTTACTAGTGATTATACTAAATTAAGTAAAAGAACATAGCTCTACTTTTTAAAATTCGATTTAGTGTTAGTGTACACATAGTTAATACGTTTCTCATAGACCACATCCACATTGTGTAACAAAAGTCGTTAGCCACATATGCTATTCAATAACAAATATTTACCCAAAATTTAAACCTCAAAAACAACGTTTGACTTATTTAATGTTTTTTATTACTATCCACATTGACCAATGATTTTGACTGTGGTGGCTCAATATCTTCCAAAACACTTGTACCATCTTGTCTCTGCAAAATTCGAATTAAAAAAACATATTAACTTTGACCATAAACGTTGACTAATAAGTAATTTCAAGAATGATTCCATATATCTAATAAAATTAACCATTTTTAATTACAAAATTAATATCACCTTTGTAGCCAGACCTTGAGATGCCATGAGATCATAAAACGCACGCATTAACATTTCTTCCTCAACCTACAAAAAGACTAAATGATTAATATTCCTATGATATTTTCCATGTTTTTTTTCTTCAAAATGCCAATTTTACACTTTAGTTGCGTGTTATAAAAAATGGAATGGAAGTCAATTATAAAAACTAAAGAATATTTTAACTTTATTTATATATAAATCAAGATTAAGAAAAGATGTGTTACCTGAAGTTTATGTAATTCATGTGACATTGATCTATAAGCATCCATGAGGAGTTCATCCTGTTTCTCCAAGTGTCTACATATTAAAGTTAAAGAATAATATTATTATGTACTGTTATTAGTCATTTTTGATTAGAATATATTTCAAGAAAACTTACTTTAACATCTCTCCTGTGTATTTAGGATCCATCAAGTGCAGATTCTGAAAGAAAAAAAAAAAAAAACAGTTCTCAAAATTAGGGATGACCTTCAAGCATTGTTGATCAAATTAACATAAAATAACATGTGTTACATGAGAAATTGTATCAGAACAAGATAGTAATGTGAATAATATGTGGAAAGATAAATTTTTATGCATAAAATCTTTGATCTTGTTCTATGATTTTCTTGTTCTTGATCATGCTTCAGTTTAGATCGAATTCAGTGATGGGTTAGTAATACAATCATAGCTCCAAATACGAATGCAATTTCCTCTGTTTTCAAAACAATGTCTTACATAAAATACAATTTCAGAAACTACTTGTAAAAAATTAGCCATGGAAAAAGAAATTATAAGTCATTATATTGTAAAGAAATCAGTTATATCAAGAAAGAGTCGGTAGGAGAATATTGGGGACAGGGTAAGGGATATCTGAAATTGCGATTTCTTTACGTATTGCCAATTTTGACCAAACAATTAACGAATCAGATCTAAACACACATGAAATCAATCTGTAATCCGACAAGCATACAATAACGAAGATTGCTATAATACGTACTTTAAGAGAGGCGAGGATCTTCAGTACCCAATCAAACGACTGCGCAGAAGTCGGCGGTGTCGGTTGCTTCGGTGAGAAGGAGGGCGGCGCCGGTGGCTGCAGGGAAGGATGATGTTGAAGATGGAGGCTGCTGTGGCGCCGGTGTTTCGGAGGCGGTGTGAACCAAATAAGAAGAAAATATATAACGATGTAGGGAAAAATCTGAAATATTGAATATTATATAATATAACAAATAAAATGTTAATAAATTTCAAATCATAAATATAAATAAAATTAAATGACATAGATGAAATAATATATTAAAATAACTATTACTTTGATCTAAACAAAAATTATTAGTTTATCTAATAACTAGTTTATAACCTCTGATAACCACGGTTATAAAATTAATCAAACTTTCGTATTAAAAAATCAAAATTATTAATCAATTATTTTAAATAAATTATTACTTAAGAGATATTTTTTAGTTATATAAAATTATAATCGCTGATTTAAATAAATACGTGGAGTTATATCATTTTAAAATTTATATTAATTTTATTTTATTTTTTAATCTAATGTTATTAATTTAATATAATTAAATGGAGAAATATTAAATTTTGAAATTTAAAATGAAAAATCAGTTATTAATTTAGTAAAATTAGAATGAGAAATTTGAAATGAATAATTAATAGGTTGACAAATGGTATGATAAATGATATATAACATTAATGAGGGGTTCTAATTGCATGACAGTTGTCAATATGAGATTAAACCTGTTCTTTTACTAGGTATGAATAATAATACACGGGTTTATTAAAAAAAAATATTTATGTCAGGACATTGCTGTTTTTTGGTATAAGAAACTTATTCTCTGCATATATATACAACACATAGTTAGAACACAAGTATAAAAAGTTTGGATTTAAGGTGAGTGTAGAAGCCGGAAACAATTTTCAGTCTGTAGACATTTCACGTTAATAAAAAAGGAAACTGAATAAAAATAATCAAGATGAGCTGAGCTATTTAAACAGATGGGACTCAAAAATAGAATGGTAGTACCAAATTTGAATTAAAGTAGGAAATAACAACCAAGTTTGATCACACATATCTAATATAACAATGTACTTTATAAGTTCATTGATTTTTTATAGTTGTATTGCAAAATAAGATATTTTTTTCAAAGAATTTCAAACCTGAATGGAAGAAATAACTAAATTACCGGAAACAACTGAAAATATGATGTTTTAAAAAGCAAATCAATCAAAGTACAAAATACCCACCAGTATAATCGAAGAAATGGCGGCCAACCTTGTGTAGAAGCTGCAAACAATTAAACATTTTGTGGACATTTAACATTAATAAAAAAAGAAAATGAATAAATAAACATGAATATAACATCATAGATTTATAATATATTTGATAAAATCAAAATTTTATTAATGGTCAGATCAGTCAAACATCAAACAGTAAACTTTCTCAAGGAATAATTGTTAAAAATCAAAAAATTATTAACTAAAATGCTATATTCTTCATATTACTCCATGAGCAGCTAAATTAAAGGAAACAAATGGAAATATGATGGTTTAAAAAACAAATCAATGGTAGTACAAAATACCCACCTCTCTATGAAAGTTTTTTCAAAATGGCCTCTAGAAAAATTATGTTTCAAAATAAGAACATAACGTCTATAAGCATTTTGGATATTGATGGCCTAAAGTCATTTAAGGTATATAAGTATTTTGCCGGTAACGGCAACCTAAAACTATATTTAATTTAACAAAAGTTTTAATTTTTAAGCAAAATAGCTTTTTATCAGGTGTAGATAAACAGTATTAAGGAGAGGCTTATGTAGCACTTTGTTCGACGTCTTTTTAAGCTTTAAAAAAGGTGGGACTTGAAGGGCTGTTTGCATGTTTTAAGAAATTATGCAGTTTTCAGTAACATGGTGCTCTTATTTGTTTTTAGGAATATGAACAAGAGGGTATCAACTTGAAAAAGTTAAGACTTTGTGTAGTATTCAAGTCTTCATTGTTACATAATTAGGTTTTTAAATGCGAATTCTTTTAAAAAAAAAGTTAAATATGAATGTCTAAAATTCAAAAGTTAAACATTAAAACATATATATATATATATATATATATATATATATATATATATATATATATAATATATATATATTAGTATTGATAAGTGAAAACATGCATAAGAAAGTGCTATCTCTATCAGTCATTTAATCAAACAGCTTGCCTGCAAACATATTCCATTTAAAAACACATAAGATTTCATACATTTGAACATCAAACATAATTACCGAATCAATAGCAAATCAATTATCAATGAAAGTAAGAAATCACCTAACAGAATTCCAAGGAAGAACTTGAACTTGACGATTGATATTAAAAAAACATACTACAAAAATATCGTATGTGATAATGTGAAGAAGGAAATCACAGGAAAACAAAACCTTTTCGATAAAAAAGAAGTCTACCAACAAAATCAATCGGTGATTTCAAAGAAATCAAAAAATAAGGAAGAAAAATGGAACCTGTTTGGGTGCGACGGCGATGTAGCTATCGAATGTCTCTGGCCGGTATCTTGATCTTGTCTTTACAGGGGAGTGACGGCGAGTAGGGGAGAGTCGACGTGAGAAGAGAGGCGATGTTGTCAACAAAGATATGTTTTTGATTGAATGATTACAATATAATAGGGAATATAACTTAAAAGATATGTTTTTGATTGAATGATTACAATATAATAGGGAATATAACTTATCAAGGTAATTAACTTTTCGCTAATGTTTACATCTGGATAATTATCTTTTTTTCTATATATCTAGGTAACAAACTTTTTGGAAGTGTTCACATATGACCATTATGACCTGTTATAGCAGGTTAAATCCTAGATGTGAACGCTTTCAACAATTTTTGTTACCTAGATGTGTAAAAAAAAAAATAGTTACCCAAATATGAACAAAACGAAAATTAAAAATTAAATTACATGAATGGTCCCTGTGGTTTGGGGGAATTTGTGGTTTTGGTCGCTAATATATATTTTTAACTTAAATGGTCCCTACTGTTTATTTTTGTTGCGCGTTTGGTTCCCGTCTTACCTAAAAATACTATTGTGCCCCTATTAATTTATTTTTTAAATTAATTTTATTATCTATGTATTTATTTTTTACATATTTAAAAAAATTAATAGACCACACATATTTGTATCTCCTCGGATGATCTCTACTGTTTATTTTTAATTAAATTTTTTTTTTAACTCGGATGATCCTTACTGTTATTTTTGTTACGCGTTTGATGTCTGTGTTATCTAAAAATAGTATTTTTCCCTTATTAATTTTTTTAATTAATTTTCTTATTTATGTATTTATTTTTTATAAAAAAATTAATATACCCCACATATATGTATCTCATCACCGTAAACCTGAAACCACATTTGAGAAATTTAATTTGAGTCTTACCATTCACCATCTCATCTCTGATCCTCCCAATCTTCTATTTCTTTTCCATCTTTAGTAACATCGACGTCTTCACCGTCTTTTTTTTTGGTACTTCAACTCTGACGAACCAACACCATAACCTACTGTCTCTTCATCTTTAGTGGGTTGTGGTGTTGATTCGACGGAGTTGAAGGACCGAAAAAAGAAGTGATGATGAAGACGTCGATATCACTAAAGATGAAAAATAAATAGAAGTTGAGAATGATGAAAGATGGGATGGTGAGGAGATACAGATATGTGAGGTCTACTAATTTTTCTTAAACATATAAAGCATAAGTACATAAACAAGAAAACTAATTAAAAAAAATTAATAAGGGGACAATAGTCTTTTTAGGTAAGACATAGACCAAGTTCGTAACAAAATTAAATAGTAGGGATCATCCGTGTTAAAAAAAATTAAATTAATTAAAAAATAAATAGTAGGGATCATCCGAGGAGATACAAATATGTGTGGTCTATTAATTTTTATAAATATATAAAAAATAAATACATAGATAAGAAAATTAATTAAAAAAATAAATTAATAAGGGCACAATAGTATTTTTAGGTAAGACGGGGATCAAACGCGCAACAAAAATAAACAATAGGGACCATTTAAGTTAAAAAAATAAGTTAGCGACCAAAACTACAAATTCCCCCAAACCACAGGGACCATTCATGTAATTTAATTTTTACTTTTCGTTTTGTTCATATTTGGGTAACTATTTTTTTTGTACACATCTAGGTAACAAACTTGTTGAAATCGTTCACATCTAGGATTTAACCTGCTATAGCAGGTCATAATGGTCATATGTGAACACTTCAAAAAAGTTTGTTACCTACATATGTACAAAAAAAAGATAGTTACCCAGATGTGAACAGACCGAAAAGTTAATTACCTTGATAAGTTATATTCCCCAGTATAATATTGTAGTTACAGAATGATAACCGAATGGATAGGCGAAAACGTATAAAAAATGTCTACCTCTTATAATAGTAAGCGTTTTGTAAGGAAAGGGTATCAAATAATAATAGAATGAATCGATCAATACTTTTAATGCATTAATTATAATTATAATTTTTTTATATAAATAAAAAAAAAACCAGAAAATTACACATGGAATTAGTTTAATTGAAAAATACCAAAAAATTACATGTGGCAAGAGGCCTAAAATATGACATGTGGCAAATTTTATTTTCTTTTATTAGGATAGATTAGAATATATATATATATATATATATATATATATATATATATATATATATATATATATATATATATATATATATATATATATATATATATATATATATATATATGTTGGCATACAGTTACACGTTTCTACTGCTTCCACTGGTCTGATCAGTTGTGTATTATACTTTCATTTGTTTAAAGGATATTTATTTCCACTTTAATATAATATACAGTTTCTTATTCACTAGCTTATTTATACATATGTATTTCTAATATTGTGTCTGTTTTTACGAAATTAACCCTGAATTGGTATGTTAACTCTGCCAGCCCTCTATGCAATTGTTTGTTATTGTAATTAAATTTTTTACTTCCTATAAATTGTATCCGTTTGTGGTAAAGACTATGTGTCTTTCCAAAATTACCCTTCTATCAATAAGTTGGTGCTGCTGCCCCTCTATGGTAGAAAGTATTATATTTTCATTTGTTTTACGAAAATTTGATTCCCTTTTTATATAATATACTATTTATTGTGGAGTAGGTTACTGATATATATATATGTGCTTCAAATATTTTCTCTGTTATTCCGAAATTACCCATAAATTGATATCACTTCTGCATTTTATTTTTTGTTATTGTTACTTATTTTTTTAGGTTCCTATTGTATCCGTTTGTGGTACAGACATTTTGTCTTTCCAAAATTACCCTTCTATTGATATCTTGGTGCTGCATCCCCTAAGGTTTCTTTTCCAAAATAAAAAAATATCTCTTTCGTGGTATTAGGTATGTTAGAAAGATGTCACTCCAGACAACAAGGTTGGAGAATCAAGTTCAATTGTAAACGAATTGTGTAAATTTATAAATAGGATTTGTTGAATGTGTATATACAAAAATAATAACGTTTTAAAAATTATAAATATATTAATAAAACAAAATGTAAAAATATTGTTAGTTGTTGTTATTTTTCTTTTTTATCTTCCTATTGTTTCCGTTTGTAGTACAGATTATGTGTCTTTCCAAAATTAGTCTTTGATCGATAACTTGCTGCTGCTGCCCCTGTATGGTAGAAAGTATTGTATTTTCATATGTTTAACGAAAATTTGATTCTCTTTTTATATAGTATACTGTTTATTCTGGAGTAGGTTACTGATACATATGCACTTCTAATATTTTCTCTGTTTTTCCGAAATTACCCCTCAGTTGATATCACCTCTGCATTTTAATGTTTGTTATTGTTATTTTTTTTATTTACATTCCTATAACTTCTATCTGTCTGTGTTACAAACTATGTGTGGTTCCAGAATTACTTATTTATGGATTAGTTGTTGCTCGTGTCTGTGTATGGTAGAAACTATCATATTTTAATTTGTTTACACAAAACTTAATTCCCCTTGTATATAATATACGGTTTGCTATAGTGTAGGTTACTCATACATAAGTATTTCTGATATTTTCTCTGGTTTTCCAAAATTACCGCTGAATTCATATCACCTCTGTATGCAATTGTTTCTTATTTTTAATTTTTTTATATTTTGTCTCTTTTCCAAAATTACCCCTCATTGGATATGTTACTACTATGATCTGTGTATGCGGTTGTTTCTTATTATTATTATTATTATTATTATTATTATTATTTCGTCCTACAAATTCTATCTATATGTTGTTTCCAG